GATCTACCACTTCTTTCGTTCATTCTTATTCATCTATCACATCGTTTTTGTATTAAAATCTAGAGACTGGGTGGTTACATGTCCAGCTATTATAAAAAAGAATGAATAAATCTAACAGCACCGGATTGATCAAAATCCATCACGCCGTGAAAGCTACATTTTGCACCAAAGTTTCCGGACCTATTTATACACCTACCTATATGCAACACAAAAATATAGCCAAAAATCTACTCTTTTTTGTATCATGAAGTTGGCAAACAAGCAAACAGCTCCGATGGTACAAGTCTGATGGTAAAATGTTCAAAGTAACTGTACTTATATTTACGAACGCATAGAAATATTCATAGCTTATAATTGTTACAGAAATATTATTGAGTTATGTGATTATATAATACTTTAGAAAAAGTAGTATATGTGAATGGTAAACGAACGTAAACGGTTACATTTAAATTACCATCAGAAAGAGAAAGGAAAAGATGGTGGGCGGTAGTGTCTCACTAAGCATGCCGTATCTAATAATATATACGTTTGTCACTTCCTCAGAAGGGCATGGGAAAACCGTGGGCGTTGCTGTCCCCGTGGAATCCTTTTCACATAGTTTTTGATGAACCCCATGCTGTAGTTTCTAAGGAAAACTTTTGCAAGGAGCTCATTCCTCAACTTGAGAGTTCTTGGGAGGAAACTTCTATAAAACCGCACGTTACGTGACCATGTGGAAAATAAATATATTTTAATATTGTTTCTTATTTTTGCATAAATTTCTTTAAAGAAATTGTTTCTTAATTAGGAACCAACTTATTTTTAAAAAGGAAAAAGCTATAAAATGCTTTTTTTATGTATTTGTTATGTGACATCTTCTCCAATTGTGGTCACATTTTGGTGATTCTTTCAATATATTTTATACTCATATTAGATTCCTTTAAAAAAAATTAAATATATATTATATTGTTTCACGTCTTTTATTAATAAATAAATGTTAATAACATAAAAGAATACAGTTTAAATGTAGTAAACAAGTATATAATTGCACCTAAAATTTGACTAACAATTTGAAACTTTATTCCCCTCACATTTGTTTGCTATCAGCTAACAAATATACTTTTAAACTTGCAAATTGAACAATATATGATAACCTTGAGCATTCAAAATCCGGCATTAAGCCAAGAAAGTTGAAGCAGCCGAATTTGTTAAAGAAAACGTTATTAATATGTTTCCTTAACTTTTCAAAACACGAGTTTGTTTTTAAATGTCTTTCAACCGAACAAGTAATAGCATTAACTGCCGAAAGTTTAACATCTTTTGTAAGATAAGAAATATGAATAATTTTTATTCAAAAATACAATTTACAAGCACTATTCAATTGTTATTTGTACAATTACAACATATAATATATATAAAATAAAGATGTACAGCAGGCGAGCTTAACTCTGTAAGAGTTCTCTTCCAGCAAACCCTGAGTGAAAAGGAACATTAATTACTAGCGGGCAGTGTGCGTACAATAATAGGATGAAACATTATAGATGTTTCTATTAAAAAATAATAAATATGTTGACATATATAAGTAACTCATACAATTAAAATCAAAATAAATACATATCTGTATACGATAATACGTATACATATATACATAGACATAAATATTATTTATTTATTTATAGTTTACTGTTATCATCATCATCATTTCAGCCATTGTCTGTCCACTGCTGGACATTGGCTTCCTCCAAAGACTGTCATAAGGAACGGTCCTGAGCCACCTGTAATCACTGACTCCCTGTAATGTATTTCAGATCATCACTCCATCTAGTAGGGGTCGTCCAACACTGCGTTTATCCGTACGGAGGAGAGTGAGGAGGTCACTCAAGAATCTTTATTTCGTATCGGTTGTCGGTTTTTCAAGTCACGTGACTAGCCCATTACCTCTTCAGCTTTCTTATTTTTCGGACGGTGTCGGTGACTGGTTCTTTTGCAAATATCCTCATTTTGGGTATTTTATTTTTAACACCAACAGTGCAATGAAAGCAAACGTACAAAGGTGAGCTTAACTGTGCAAGAGTTTTCTGCCAATAAACCCAATATAATAAGTATAATATTAGTACTGCTTTCAAAATTGTTTTTCTCAAAACTCAATTGCAAATAAATATACATAACAGTTGAGAAATGTATTTATAGTACATATATCTTTAGTTTATGTATCTTTTACTACTGGAGTGTTAAATAAAAGAACAACTTTAGAAGTTGAAAATCGAACGACCTGTGGAGAGTTAAATTTTCTGGATTCAAAATGTACTCCGCGTGTCGTTTTAAATAATTTCCCAAATTAGTCGATAACTGTGCTCAGAGTTCTAATATTCATTAGCATTAATAACAGCAATGTATTCTTAATTGAACATAAAAGGAAGCGTGAAATAGAATGAATGAGTATATACTTTATTTGTATTATACAATATAGGAAATAAGCAAGACAATTTACAAACACAACGATACATTTGTATAAGTACAGTAAGGCGGTCTTATTGCTGAGAGCAATCTTGTCAAGAGAACCTTAAGGTAAAGGACTAATTGTTGTACAAGTAGGTATGATACTGTATAATTAAAAAAGCATCTTTTGCAACGATATCAATATAATATAATAGAAACGATTATCAGGCACAGCTCCGGCATAGAATGGGCCATCCTTTCCATTCCTCTGGATGTTGTAAAAGGCGACTAAGGGAACTTAATAATCGAGAGATGAACAGCAGCGCTTTTCATAAAACATTACCAAAGCCTAACTGCTGTTGCCAACACGTCTGCCAAACGTGGCAATGTTTGTCATCATATCAGCTTAACCTGTCCACCGCTAAACATAGGCCTTTCCCTCCTCCCATATGCTGTTATGAAGAATGGTGCCAAACCTATTGGGAAATTTTGTCAATAGTTGCCACACTTGGTAGGGTTGGTAGGATACGGGTTGACAACAACAGTTTTTTTTTACGGGTGATAATGGAATGGTAACCCTGCCTGCGCTATCAGCATACGCTGGCGGGACATCAGTGAGAGATGATAGATGAAGCACGTGATAATATCCACGTTTGCGCAGCGCCTTATTTACATTGGCAAAATAAAGACTATCCACGTACTACTTAGGTAATGATTTATTATCACCAGGGTCCTTGCCAAATTCATCTGAATAAACAATTGTTCTCCTGATGGTTTCATGTACTGCAGTTTATCTTTTGTACTGCGTGTGGGTAAACATGAAACGTCTGGTTCCGTGACGGATGAGATATCAATGTTCAACTGATTATGGTGGGACGGTTGGATATAGTTATCAGACTCTGGTGAATTACAGTGACATCTATCCGTAAGAGAAACAAACCGCTCCATGTTGTAGTTACCTAATTTTATTAAATTATCCAACTATATCAGAATATTCATGTATTTCATTCTTATATGATTCGTATTTCAAAGATAAATTGGACAACGAGTTCTCTAATAGTTTAATTTTTTGTGATAATTCATCTATTTCTAAATCTTTGTTATATATTTTTTTCTTTACAATTATTTAATTCTATTGATAAGTCAATTTTTTGCTTCCTAGTAATAATTGATTTTAAACACTTTTTATGACTTTTCACTAAATTTTCTGATTTTCGAATAAATTTATTTAATTTTACATATTTTTTTAACTTCTTACTACTATTAATAGGTACTTTATTAGGACTATAGGAGCTTGGTGTATTTGTCAAATCTATGGTCACAAGGGGCAGAGCAGATGTTTGATCACTAGTAGTATTTAACATTTCTGTATACAGATCCATGGTCTCGTTATAACTACTCAACCGCCTGTGATCCAACAAAGATTTATTTTGTGATTGAACTTCCTCAAGGTGCCGCTCTAGATGAGTGATTTTCTGCAATGCTGACTCATATGTGTCTCTGCACAGATCATATTTATTTACAATTTCTTGAAGTTTTTCTTTTTCGATATGTATATATGAACTTCAAAGTCTGTACTGATCTTCACTAGGTCATTATTCAGAGCCACATATTTATCAGACATCAACTTAATTTCAATCTCACTTTCATCTCGTTCCTGTAATAAGGCCTTATTTAATTCATTGGATTTTTTAACTCTAAGAGTGTCACCTTGAGCTTAGCATCAAGATCACATGCTCTGCGGGACATCATTTTTAATTATTATGTTAAATATCTACGAAACAAGACAACAATTATTATTCAATAGAAGAAATACAGTGTTGAAAGTGCGCTATTTCCCTTCAATAAAATAATACAATAAATAATGTAATAATAAATAAATAAATAAATATTGTTAGTAAAAACTTTAAATACCAATACTGTTACAAAAAAAATAATTAATCTTATATATTACCACTACAGTAAATATGTCTTAATTTGTCATATGATATCTAGCAATGGCTATGGATTACTAATATTGTATTGTTATTTAATAAAATACATAAGTTTAGTTTCGTACAGCTATTTGGAATATATTATCAATATGATAATAAATAAATTTTATGAGCTGTAATTATTGCAATAATATTTTATGTTAGTGGGTAGTTTTTTTTTTTTTTCCTCTCAACAACAACAACCGATCTTCACTATCGAATATTTGACTTTAATATTATTGTTTATTTGTAAATGGATATAGTAATAGTGAAGTGTAATAACTGTATTTAATTATTAAAGGAGTCAATAGAAATCCAAGACTTCTATTGTAAATTACCAATACTTTGACAGTTGGCGGTCCCACAAATTTTGTAACGTAGATTTTTGTCACAAAGAAATCACAGATTTACACACCAACAACAATCGACGTTACTTATGACCAAAACTCACTGATTATATACACTAGTATCGTTATTTCACAAGTAATAAATTAAAAACAATAAATAAATAAGAGCCAACTGACAAAGACTGTTATCGGCAGTGTTGCCAGAGAGAAAAAAAAAATATTATTTAAATTAATTATTATTTAAAAATAGGATTTAAACATAATGATTTTCGGTGATAATTTGTCTGTAAATGAACTCACTTCAAATAACTAAGGGCCAAAAGTGCCATCTATCAGGTAGTTTCGAAAAGGAACTTGAATTGCTGATTAGTATAGAATAGATATTTGAATAAACATTATTTCTATAAAAATGTTTATTTAAATAGACGTGTTTACTAGCTCATTCAAATCGTCATGTTTTATTATTATATTGCTGGGCTCGGGATGTTGTTATCTATTGAAAAGAATCTGCAGAAATCTCAACAGTTACTCTTTTCTAATTATTGTATGTACAAGATAATTTAACATTTGCATGGATACTGTGCAGATATTACTGATTAATAGTACTACTTTTATGTAGTACTTCTAAAGTTCTTACAATTAATATAATATAATTTAATAATATAATATTTTAATTATCAATTTTAGTGGAGCACATCTGTTCTCTAACATATTACATAAACCTGGCGTTCAGATGCGAGGAAAATATTGGAACATTAAGTGAAGTCATCGAAAAATGCCTCAGGTTTCTAGGATCATATTTTTTCAATTATCTACCCTACAACAATATGTTAGCGATTTTTATAAAGGTATGCATTTAAATTTTTATAAATAAATAAATATGCTCACGAGTATAAACTGTAATGAGGTATACACAAGTATGTTTATATTTGCCGTTGTAGTGAACGTAACACTGAATCCACATTCGTCTAGCATGGAAGCAAGTCTACTGTCGTAATTCAAAGTTATCTGGTATGTTCCGAGTGAGTTCGAAATTTAAATTAATAATTTTTTTTTTTGTGTTTGCCAGATTCAAATTCGTGATCATTGAGTCACTGCCATTCATTCTTCTTCTATTTGTTATATTTTTATAGTTGTAGGGACAGTCATGCATTTTTATTGACACAAAATTTTTTACTTGCTTGCTAGAGTTAAAAATTTTTTAATAACAAACTTTACCTCTTTCAGATCGCGAATGTACAAGCTACATTTCTTTGGAGTTTCACTGACGTGATATTAGTATGTTTTAGCATTTATCTCATCTCGTACTTTCAAGATTTGAATAAAATTATTGATAATCCTGCAAAACAGGTAGGTGATAATATATTAAAGTTTTTTTTTTAATTAAAAACATAAGTGAAATTTATTAAAATTATTATCAATTTTTCACCGGATAACCCTACGTCGCGACTAACTGTAAGCAGGTAACTTGGGTGCATTGCATTATATCTATTTCAGTTCATCTTTCATTTAAACTAACTATTATTGTTTGGCTTATAGTCGTGTTTCTTGATCGTTTTTCTTAGCAGAAATTCATTCCGAACTGGGCGGTAGTTTATAAAAAAAATGACTATTCAAAAATGCTTATTATTAAGTTTAATAGAATAAAAGTTATTTAATTGAATGAATGAGTATACTTTATTTGCATTATACAATATAGGAAATAAGCAAGACAATTTACAAACACAACGATACAATTGTATAAGTACAGTAAGGCGGTCTTATTTAATTTTTATAAAAAAATAATATACCTGCTAAAATCAGCGGCATTTCAGGCTACATTTAGGATTATATATATTACATACAGGTTTACAGGCTAGGCTAAATGTCAAAATCATGGATGAAGTTTGTCATCGACATTGCCCGTTGCAAGATTTTAATCTGTTTAAATTGCAATTTATTTTTCAGAAATATATATCTTGGAAACGACTGCGTATATATTATTCGCACGCCGTGTCACTGGTTACGAAAATTGACGCTCAGCTTGGCAGCATGATTCTTGTCACGTATTTTATTTATATAATTTTCATATGTCGCCAGTTATACAATGTATTAAAGTAAGTTTTTTATTTATTTATATGTATAAGCTTTATTGAACATACACATTAAATATAGATATCAGTTTATAAAGAAAATGACAGGTATGCTGGTGGACTTATCCCTTGAAGAGATATCTTCCATCCTTAGATTATATAGATAGAGTGTCTTCATGCAAGAAGCTTCGAGAAAAGCAGGTTAAATTTTTATACAATTTTGCGTGATAAATAGTTATGAATGTTCCCTTTATAACTTCTATATTTTATAATTTTTGCATCTTTTTAATAAGTAAAAAACTTATTGTATTTATTAAATAATTAAATAAAGATAAGTCAAGATACATTATGTGCGTAAGTATATAAAACAGTTATAAAAAAACAATTCGGTTAATTTGACAATTAGCTGACAAAAAGTTGATCCGTTTTTGAGACTCGATGCTCTATCTATATAATCTGAGTTTCCAATCAACCTTTTTTATGCTCTAAATTTAAATTATTAATAAGTGTTATGTAACTCTGCTGGATCTCTACCTGTAATTTTTTTGTGTATTTTAAAATATAAATATTAGATATTATTTTAAAATGATTCTTTTCTTAAAAAAAAAATATTGACCCGTTACACACGACTTTTATAAAAGTAAAAGTCCGTGTTATTATTCACTTTAATCATATAAATATATAAGTATAAGCATTTCATGAAAAGGTCAGACACATCATGAAGTGATCAATTCTATGATCTGTCCACGAGATGAAATGAAATGAGATTTATTTCGTAAAAATATAACTGTAGTTTTATAAGTTACAGTACTTATATTAATATTATAATTTTAAATGGGTACAGTAGTTGTGGTTTTAGAACTAGGCTCCTAAATAGGTTAATAAAATAACCTATGTTAAGGGTGTAAGATATGTTCATACGAACAAAGTCGCGACCATAACAAAACAAGTTTTATTGTACAGTAATACCAACATTGACATAAGCGGATTAGAGTTGCTACATGAAAATATATTAATCGATAAATCGAAACAAAAATCATTTATCAATTATTTTAATGATTAATTAACTTCACTTGATTATTCACAAAATTGTTTTTGGAAACAAATAATGAATTTCTTAGACAATACATTTAGTTTACAAATAAGAATATAATTTATTTATTGTAATTATTCCTTGTAGTCGTCTCCACGTTCACATCAAAGTACACGAGTGTGATCAACATGAAGCAGATGAGTAAGTACTCGTATACAAGGTGGTGTTGAAATCATTAGTATCAAATGAACATTTTTATCAAAAAGATTTTTTTTTTGTTGTTATTGTCGTTATTTTTTGTTTTTTAGATAGAATACTCATTAATAGGATGTAAATGGTTTATTTTATATTTGTTTGCTTTCTATAATGTCACAACAGTTGCCAGTTAGCTAATATTATTATAGTAGGGTTGTTGACTGTATCGGGCCTAGCAAGTACTTAAAACTTGAAAAACATAGTCTTAATAGATTCTTTGCTATGTATATTTTTTATTTATATTCCACCCTGTAGTAGTAAATAGTCTTAAGATTGATAATTATATTTTATAGAATATTATAATTTGCACTATATACAGATAGTATAAAGAGATAGGTGGGAAACAAGTATACAGTCCGTCTGATAGTAAACGGTTACTGTAGCCTATGAATGACTGCAACACCAGGGATGCCACGTGACGACTTTCAATGATACTTTTTTAATAACCTCCAATTTTTTATTATTATTTTATCAGACTTCAACTGTTCACTGCTTAACATAGGCCTCCTCCATAAGGGGAGTTTTGCCAGTAGTTGCCACGCTTGGCAGGCGGGGTGGCAACCGCAGTTAGGTTTTGCTGTTGTTTTAAGAAGAACAATGCTGTCCATTTCTTGATATATAGGTATATATTTATACAACTTAGAATGGCAAACAAGCTGATGGAAAGTGATAATCATCGCCTATAGATGTGAGCAGTACCATGGACATAACAGAGTATACTGTTTCGCCCTTGATACCCCCCATGCATTGCCATTCCTGAGGACTCAGGTGTTATTCCTCTGTACCCAGTAAATTCACGCCATATCCCACCCTTCAAACCGAAGTATATGACAATAATCTTATTTTTATGAGTCTTAAGCCGTGACAAAGGGAATAAAACATACATAATATGCAAGAGAAGGAAATCTCAAAATTGACTCCTATACCAAATCACATGGCCAACGTAGTAATAACGTTAATACCATCCTGACATTAATCGAAAACTGCTAACATCGCTTCTTATGATGGGTATTATAATAGAATGTATTTACTGTGATTTTACGAGCGATGTCTATCCGTTCTTGTGATGATCAAAGCATTTATCCACTTTATTAGTTGTCAACATTCAAATTACCTGTCAACTTCAAGGAAAAAAGTTTTTAAATGCGTCTGCTTAAAATGTCTTACCCTTACTTATTATGTTCATTTAATAATTTAAACAAATTTTTCCATAGAAGACTTTAGGAGGATAGTAGTAGTTTGAGCGCCTCTGTTCCACGCATGTTTTTACCGTTTATTTGCATTACACTGTTTTGGTTTGTAGAGTGGGATATGATTTTTTTTATAAAACTTAGAATAGCAAACAAGCTGACGGCCCACCTGATGGAAAGTGATAACCGTCGCCTATAGACATGAGCATAATAGAGTATACTGTTTCGCTCATGATACCCCCCATGCGTTGTCATTCCTGAGGACTCAGGTGTTATTCCTCTGTACCCTGTAAATTCACGCCAAATGGTAGTCAAATTAAAGAGTACGGAGATGTTATACAACAAAATTATGGAGCCAACACCCAACAGCAGTACTTTCAAACCTTATTGAAATCTTTAAGAAAAGAGTATATTATTTACTAAAAAACCGGTATCATATTTGCTACCGGTTTCTCTTATGTTGCAGGTGCCTATGGGCGTAAATATGGCTATAGAACTAATTTTATTATAAAGATATATTAAGACAAAATGTTTGAAACTAACTTTTGTAATATTACCATATCACCATATTGTATCACATTTTAGCAATAAATTACCTTCTTTCATTTATTCAATGTTGATGATTTAGAAAAAAACTAATAGATATTTCATTAATTTTCAGATATTACCTAACGTGGGAGAGAACAACTTACTTTATTTATTCAACTGTTTTTCTGCTTATGAGATTTTTCACATCGTCGCTGTTGGCAGCGAATGTTAATTTGGTGGCCAAAAAGCCACTGATTGCTTTGTATGAGGTGCCGTCTTCGGAATATAGTATCGAGGTATCTTATTAATTTTTACTCATATGTGTGCTAGTGTTATAAATGTGAAAGTAAGGTTTTTTTTTTATAAAACTTTAAAACGTATTTTTAAATGGTTGATAGTCGGACATATATCGACAAAATAGGCGACGTGCTGAAGAAGGGCGGAATTAAAAGTACCCGTAACCGGCGAGCGTGTATGAAAAGATTGATGAATGTGAAGGAACCGAAAGAGGCTTGTTTGAATAGAAACATTTGACTTTCCATTGTTTCTGCTTACCTTAATGGGTGACAGATATGTACGCCATGTAAGCTAGCAATATTTCCCGTCAGGTCGATTTCCACGCGGTCTATCTTAGACTATTGTGGTTAATTCATCTGCGTATCGTATCGTAAAGGTTACTTATTAGAGATGGATAATATACAGTAATATCTATATATTAATTAGCTCAATAGGATGAGACGATATTTCATGCCAGAACACCGCCTGAAATTATATAAAGCCCAAGTCAGGCCGCATATAGAATACTGTTCTCACCTGTGGGCAGGAGCGCCACAGTACCAACTCCTTCCGTTAGACCGCATTCAAAGTCGGGCGGCTCGAATTATCGATAGTCAACGCCTTACTGTCCGACTTGACCCATTGAAACTGCGCAGAGATGTTGCATCTCTGTGCATCTTCTACCGAGTTTATCATGGGGAGTGTTCTGAGGAATTGTTCGGATTGATACCTGCTGCTGATTTTCACCACCGTACAACCCGCCACAAACTAAAGTTTCATCCCCATCATCTGGACGAGTGGCGGTCTTCCACCGTGCGTTTTTCAAGGCACTTTCTTCCACGCACAACCATTCTTTGGAATCAACTTCCAGCAGCAGTATTTCCGAACCGATACGACAACATAACCTTCAAGAAAAGAGTACATTCCTTTTTAAAAGGCCGGCAGCACACCTGCAATGCCGCTGGTGTTGTGGGTGATCATGGGCGGCGGTAGTCACTTACCATCAGGTGAGCCGCATGCTCGATTGCCCCCTGTGTTGTAAAAAAAAAATATTAATTTCAATGTCTATATATTGGTTTCAATAATAGATATGTTAAATATCGGTATACCACTATATTGTAATTTCGAAATGAAGAATCGGATGTAAAGGGATATTACGAGTCGATTTCCGACGGGTAAATGCGATATCGAAATAGGTGATGACCTTTTTTTCACCGTCAATATCTAGAAGAATCCAATATCATATATAGATATCGAGCGGTACCGATGTTACGCATATCAATAGTCATTCCATTTTCATGTCTTTAAAAAATATGATGCAGGTGCAACGGTTTCATCTACAGATCGTACATCAGCCGGTCGCAATGAGTGGAGTGATATTTTACATAACCCGGGCAATTATATTGACTGTAAGTAAATAACGTAATGCAGTGAAGCAGATGTGCTTGCAGTCGCAGCTGTGTGTGGATTTTTTTATAATACAGGGGTCAAACGAGCATGCGGTTTGAAGAGATACGGCAGTAAAATTACAATGTCTTCATCATTTCAACCGGTAACTGTCCACTGCTGAACTTATGGCTTATGCCTTCTCCATAAGGATAGTTTTACCAGTGGTTGCCATGCTTAGCAGTCATGTTGTGAACTGCAGTTAAGCTTTTTAAGCTAATTAAGTTCCTTTAGTCGCCTTTTACGACACCCGCGGAAAAGGAAGGGATGGCTTATTCTATGCCGGAACCATACGGACTAAAGATTACAGTGTACGGAGGTATAAACCCCATAGTCCTTAGAATAAGCAATTCACGAAGGGCATCATGGGAATCTCAGTATATTCTCTGATGTCTAATGCTGTTCATATCTATTTGTCGATCGGTATCTGTCCTATCAGGATATTTATTATATTTTCATTTCAGACTGTTGTAGACTATTGGTATACTTACTACCGCAACATATTGACCCCAGAAGTTACAAGTTTAAATCTAGTCGAAACAAAAGACTGTGTTACTTTAACTTATTGATTAAGTTTCAAGTGTGGAAAACACCATTAATAAATCAAATTAATATAATATGGATAAGTCGAATGTTACGTTCACCGTAATGGCAACAGACGACAAATGTATCTGACTACCCCATTAGAGGTTATAGTCGTGAACATATATATTTTATATTTCACAGCAAATTATATCGTAATCTAGAGGTCGATGCTTTACCATAATTTATGTGTGCACTTATCACGAAATTCTAAATGGACCCTTTTAGCCCTTCTACTATAAAAGGTAATGAAGAGAACCTTAAATCATAAATCAAACTCCTTATTCAACCCCAATCTGGTTAATTACATTTTTAATATATTTTTTTGTATATGTGTTATGTGATACGAGTATATTCATCAATTTTGAAACGATTTTGACAATCCCTTTGCAATCGATATACATAGTTTATTCGCATATTTATATTGATTCGATTGAAGTCCACGTCTTTCTTGTGAAACAAATTATATTTTACTATTAGAAATCTAAGAACAAGGAATTACATAGAAGGAATTATAAAATAAAAAGTGTAAATCATATGGTTGCCTCCTTTCTTCTTATGTAAATATAATTAATAAAAAGAGAACGAAAGATACAACATCAGTTGCTATTTTTCCTATCAGGCTATTCATAGTAGGCTAGTGTATAGAAAATGTGGATAAAAAATGTTTGTTCATTTACTAGATTATATATTCGATACAGTTTATGTAGAAAGTATGCAAGCAGGTTCTATCTGAATTTGGTAAGGTTGTAAGGCCGTATAATATTTTCATATAAATATTAATAAATTGTTCTTTATTTAATTATTTATTATTTTATTCAAAATAATTGTCTGTATTTTACAGGTGATTGCCAGTATCATTACTTACGAGTTGGTGTTATTGCAAACTTCTCAAAAAATAATTTAAATTTACAATTACAGTGTTCAT